ATACTCTGACCAATCAAAGACAAATTTAGATAAATACTCTAACCAATCAAAGACAGAGAATCTAAAAGAATGACATTCTTGTTAAAGGATACACATCTTTCATTTCCTCAATAGTTGGTGCCCTTAAAATGTCTTGTATATTAATTATCTGTAAAGGAGTAAATAATCAATGGTTAATCAATATCATCAACAACAAAAATCTTTTGACATAAAGATTCTCCAGCATCAATCAATATAATTAATGGCACCAAACTTAGCACAAAAATAATTAGTAGTGACTACCTGAACCATTTACTTAAACATTTTTTATTGAACTCTCTTTATCTTCTATACAATTGTTCTACATCATCATTACACATCATCAATGTTTTTCTATTTTAGACCAGTAAAGCCAGGTGTATTGATCAGTTTATCGTAAGTAATATATATGTGTGCTGCTATTGTGACATGAACAAGGAAATGCTTTCAAGGCCACATTTCCTCTTTGTCCCTTAGCCTCTTTATGGTATGGTCAGTAAAGTCATAATAAATGACTGTAATAAATAATGACTGACCCATTGTAAGGCTTGATTTCTGATCTATCATTGATGTCCAGTAACTCATTAATTTTCCTAATTTAAGGCCACTGACCATTCTGACGGTACCCCAGATTCTGATATACAGTCAGGGGTGAGACTGAAATCCATCATATTGAAAAATGATTGATAAATGTCATTTCTACTAACTATGTAATGTACGTATTTTTATCATTTTTGTTAAAGTGACCTGCATGTCTGGCTAATTTTACAGTGAGTTTCAAACACTAGTCTATATGCAAACCTCTGTGGGTCCTTGATTGGAAATAAACTTTCCTCCTTCACTTTTAAATCTGTATTATTGAATTCATGTTATTAAGGCAAATCATGAAATATGTCCTTCCCCTGACTGTTTAAGCAGTAGATGGTAGCTGCACCTTACCATGCTTCATCTCTTCTTATTGTTTTCTATTTTTTAATTTAAATCAAAACTTATTATCATAATAAATTGATACTTTAAAAAAAGGCACCCCCTCCCCCATTTTAATTTTCTGAAAATTTTGATTGAAAAAAAAAAAACCTGTAGGATAAATTTTGTTGACTGGATTTAATGAACAAGAATACTTTTTCTTGGTCTTATTGTTTGAATTTTTAGTAACATTTTCATGATTGAACTTGTTAATATCTTGATTTCTCTGGTTGTTCGTTGGGTTAGAGTTAGGGTTATTATCTGAATTGTTACGTACATTTTCATGTTTGAACCTTGTTAATATCTTGATTTCTCTGGTTGTTCGTTGGGTTAGAATTAGGGTTATTATTTGAATTGTTACTTACATTTTCATGTTTGAACCTTGTTAATATCTTGATTTCTCTGGTTGTTCGTTGGGTTAGAATTAGGGTTATTATCTGAATTGTTACTTACATTTTCATGTTTGAACCTTGTTAATATCTTGATTTCTCTGAGTGTTCTTTGGCAATAGGTCTGATGTTCAAAAGGTGAGATCTTCTTAATGGCAACCTTCTGTTTGGTAACTGTGTCCAGAGCCGATCTGAAAATTTGAGAGAATAATGCTGTAAATAATGATATGACATGTCTTTAGAAAATTTACTTTACTCAAATTACACTAATACACAAATTTTTAGGTTTCATAAACTTGGTGAGAAAAGTTGTGCATCCATCTCTGCAGATTATAAATACACATCAAAGATTTCACCTTTAATATATGCTTGTAGATACTGTTATTTTATTTATCACAAGGAGTAGTTAAAATGCATTATCATTAAAATGATAAAATTATAAACTTCTGCACAGTCAACACAATATTGTGTTTATCACCTTGTCTTGGAAAAAAATGTATTAATTTGATTTAAATTTTCTTGTAAAAAAATGTAAATTAAATTCTTTTTTCCCTTCGTACAAGTTGTCAAAATATGTGGTTGGTTCATTCAATGACTTGTTTGATAAATCCTACATTACTATGAACTTGTCAACTGGTTGTATAGTGATTTACCAGTGTTAAATACTTCTACAGGCAACTATTATTATACCACAATGCACTTTACATAAAAACAGAGCAAAGAGTACAGTCACAAAACGCTTCATATAAATGTCTTAAATATCTCGTTTTTAACATAGAAAAGACAATAGAGTAACGTCCCTTGACTGCAGTTGCGTGCAGGTGCATGCTTATAACTTACACAACCATTCCATATGCGCCCTCCCCTATGTATTTCAAGTCAACATAGCGTGGACCCACGAGGAATTCCTGTGCCTTCACGGCCACGGGTTTATTTGCAGGTTTCCCCCCGCTCGCCATGTTGATAGCCAGGAGTCACGTGACAATTGACGTCACAGGGAATTTTGTATATTTTGCATATTTCTGGTACAAGTGCACTTGACTCATGCATAGCGTTTGGTTTCAGCATAGGCAAATGCTTTAGGTCTATGGTTTCAGATGGTTATTTTTCTTTGTCTCTAAACACAGGGGGCGGATCCAGCAATCTTTGAATGGGGGTTCCCGGGTGGTGACCCTCTAAACCCCCCCCCCCCATCGTGGTAAATAATATCCTTGTTTTATATTTGTACGTTAATTGAAGCCCCCCCCCCTTCCCAGTCCGAATTTAAAGAGAAAAAAAAGTTCAAAAAACTAAAAACTACTGAAGTCTTTAAAATTGAATAGATTTGCAGCATTTCCAAAGAAAACATAGAATTTTTTTTAGAATTTGAAAAAAACTTTTTGTCCTTGGTAGGCTTTTGTACTAAATCAAAGAATTATATATAATTTACTGTGGCCTTATGCATGTTACCTTTATTGACTTATTTAATTTAGTTCCTTTAAAAGATAATCCGAAAATGGTACGAATATATAGCCAAAGATCGTCGGAATCCGATATCAAATTAACCTCGCATATTAACAAGATTAATTACTCATCATATATTGAAAAAAGTAGAACATTTTATTCCATTCACTCATAAATAATTAAAAAAAAAAGCTGAAAGAGAGGCCGGGAAAAGTGAAGGTAAATGGGGTAAAAGAAAATTTGTGAGACTCTATCTTATAGCAAATGGAATATATGACCAACCATTCGAATTGTTTTGAATCGAACAACGTTTATAAAACGTGAGTTAGACTTACAAGTATCTATTCCAACAAACGTTTAAATATCCTCTCTCTCTCATTTCCACTCGGCGAAAAATAAAGGAGGGGGGATTCCAGCCCCCGGGCCCGCCCCTCCTTCTGGATCCGCCAATGAAACACACTCATTAATAAAAAATCGCCAAAATTAGCATTTAAAAAGATATCATATTTTTGTACATAAAAGACACACAGAAATATTTTATTTAAAAAAAGAATGCTAATTTCAGCAATTCTTGATATTTTATTTTAACGAGTGTATTTACAGACATGGAAAAATACACAACATACGAAATACACCACCTTGAAACCAAGCGCATGTGGATTGACGTACAAAATAATGTACTTATATATTTTTTTCTTAATATATTTCAGCAGATTCTTTTACCATGCCAATAAGAGCTCGAAACATCCGGGGTGGGGATGAGAGTGTTTTACTTATTATTTTGTCACAGTAGTCACATATAGGCGTGCTTTGTTGTTTTTTTTTTAAAGCTGGGAGTATAGACCTTGCTAATTAAATTTCACAGATCTAGATTTTATTCTTTTATCCCAATATCGTGGTGCATGTTACTAGTAGATTGGCATCTGATCCATCTTAAAGCACAAAAGCATTACAACGAAATGTCAGATGTTAGCGATCAGATGTTATACTTTTCAGTGGCATCCTATCTGCTAATGTGTAGGCTAGTGAGAAGTCACAGATTAAATCTGAGGCGCAAAGTGTGGGTAGGCAAGGAGAATTTCGCCCCCTCTCGATAGGGATTGGAGGAGGGGTTTCTGGGGGAGTTTTTTTTTTCCGAACTATAAGACATGTACGATTGTCATCTACAATTTGACAAGTGAAAATAATATTGTAAACATTTTTTTTTTTTCAGTTTGTATTATGATATGAAGACTACTTAACAAAATTGAGAACTTCAATTTTCACTTATTTTTTACTCTGCTTAGAAAATATGGAAACTTCCTTACTGAATAATCTTAATACGATCAATACATTTAATTTCCTCAGAGACATATGTCTCTGATTTCCTACTATAACCAAAATATGTTTCCAATAATATTAATTTCATTTCCTGCAGTAATCATGGCCTCCTGTTGCCGTCGATGGTTTTGAAATTGTCTAGTACAGACTTAATATACCACTTGAGTTTCGGAATTAAAAAAAATCCAGGTATAGGAAGTTTTGTTATAGGTATAAAAACACGGATTGCTAGGATTTTTTTTTTTTTTTTTTTTTGCATTTGCAACAAAATAAATTTAATAGATAAGAATTATTATCATCTTTTCTCCTCCTTTACAACCATTTTTTTTTTATCCATGACAAAATGATGTGTAGGCTACAGCCTTTGCCTATATGGAATATACGCCACTGCTTTAGCACCAGTGAAGATACATGATCGCCCCCCCCCCCCTCCGAACACACACACACAAACACTAGATGCAGATTCTGTTTGGTTTGGTATTCTGTTCCGCAAAAGGAATGTATTCATCGAGCTCTCTTAATTACGAGTTCCGCTGGTGCTTGAGCATGTTGAGGACTAATTGTGTGGGAACCCCCCCCCCCCCAAAAAAAAAAAAAAACAAAAACAAAAACAAAAAAAACACACACACACAACCACCACCCCTTCTCCGAATCTTCAACGAAAAATTATCTTTTAATTATACATTTTTGATGGAATAATTTGAAAAATTACTTGAATTAAACATTTCGTAAAAATTCTAGCCTAACCTCCTTCCTGGGAATTTTTACAAAATTTTGCACGAAACGAAAAGGTACGAATTATCATGATGTACAGTGACGTCATTATCCTTTATATAAATCTAGGACGCGAGTCCGTCGCACTGTCTGTTTCCGGTGAAACCTCAGAGGAGAAGAAACATCATATAGGGTCTACAGCAGTCAGGAGTGTTCCTCTGTTACACAATGAGTCAAAATCCCCCTGCACACACCAAAGCTGGTAAGTTTACAAAAACACTCTGTAGTTTTCAGAAAGAAAACGTGGATCAGGAATATTGAAACGATATCGATACCTTCGAATGTTGTGTAACAAATTTTTGTAAACACATGTATGTATCATGTGTATTGGATATATTTAACACTGTTTAATGATTGTATGGTTTGATTATATCTTTTAAATCCTTACCGACAGACACCATCTGCACTATTGTCATGTCGTGAAAAATTAGATTTTGGTTAAATATTTTGTAAATGGAATATATAAAGTTATGTCACTGGTTTAAGAACATTGAACCTTGTTATGTAATTATTTTATTATAATACACGAATTCACATTCTTATGCAACTGTTTTGTAAAATGCATTTTGATTGTATAGTACACCAATGTTTGAGGCAGTAAAACATGCATTAACGAGAATGATACCTTTCGATTGTGACGTTATAATAAAACGACGCAAAAACACAATGCTTCATGACATATTTCATGTAACAAAACTCACCAAAATAAGACGTAAACATCAAACAAAATGCATTAATTGCATTAGAATGGGAATAACTGTCTTCTCATTTGTTATTTTTGACCCTTAATGCTGATTTAACGGTTGCAAGCATCCGATTTACTGGCTCCACTTACGCCTCGCCGGTAAAACTCAGTTTGCGACCGTTAAATCAGTATAAACGGTCGCAAATAACAAATGAGAAGACAGTTATTCCCTAATTTACATATATTTACTTCCCATAAGGGAAAAACTGTCTTCTCATTTAATATATTTTGTCACTATTAATGCTAATTGAATTAACAATTGCAATCAGAGTTTTTACCAGCGACAAGTTAGTGGAGGGGTAAAAACCCGTTGCATTATTATGATGTCAAAATCAAAAGATTTCACTCTCATTGATGCTCGTTTAAATGCCTCAAGCACTAGTGCCTTAATGATAGGAGTGAAATGGTTCACCGCGGTATCGATTCACCGCAGTATTTTTTCTTGGTTTGATACACGGTGCAAAATCTTTAATTTTTGGTTCGGTTCATTTTCGGTCGGGATCGTTATTCAATTGGGTTTGGCATAAGGTAAAACACGTTACTTAATATAAATGAGTATAGCAAACGTAAATTTTTGACGACTGATAGTTTGTAAAATAATTTTTGACAGTCAAATAATTCTAATCAATTTCTTCTAGTCAACTTGCAAATAAAAATTTGTAAATTAAGTGACTAGATTTAGTAAAAGAAATCATAAAACAAGGTTGAATTTGTTTCCTTCTATCAAAATGTATCATATCGAAAATAACTGTACCGAGACAAATTTATACAAAACGTATCGAACCGTGAAGGAGGTGTATCATTTCACCCCTACTTAGCAAATCAAAATGCATTTTACAAATTTGTATATATGCATCCATTGAGGGGTGTCTCTATTTCAAATTTGTGTACACTTTTGGATAATTCCTAACACTACAAAATATACAAGCTTATTAGGGGTTAATGCTTTATGAGTAACAACTACATGTAAATTTGATTTTGTCATACCAATGTATGTGTTACCCCACCTTAAAGCAATCAGAGAATTAAAATCAATGAAGGAATAACTGTCTATCTGGTTTCATGATGTGATTAAGCAATGGGCTTGCGTGATAATTTGCATAAACACCAAAAAACGTTTTTGTAACATTATCACGCAAGCAAATTGCTTGACCATTGTCATGAAGCCAAAAAATCTGACAGTTATTCCATATATTTATATGCACTTGATTCTGTTTATTTTGCATGCTACAAGCCCCGCCTACTTCTGTCTCTCTCTGCCCTGCCCGCACATGAATATTTTGACACCAATTGATGAAGCAGTAGATTTATGTAGAAATCAAGTATTTTTACTATTAATAATAATTTGTAGTTTTATTGGACAAAGAAATTTGAAAATAAAAAAATTTGAATTTGAACATAGAATTATTATAATACTAGATGTAGATAAACATAAAAGTTAGATAAATAAGCTTTCTCCAGAAATTGTTAATGAGAGACGACGGTCAGGTCAGCTCAGTGTCTAGTCAAGCTAATGTTTACATGTGGATGATATATCTAAAGCCAATCTGATTAACATCAGATCCTTTGATCCGCTTGCATAGATCTCTACACAAGAATCTGAGGAAACTTCATTCAGGGTCATCTCCTGGTGACCTTTCAATTATCCAGTCAAACATTTGCTTGCAAGAATTTAGAAGTATCTCGGAATTCAGTCACAGAAGTGAAAGCCCCGATGATACACGAACGGAAAATGGTGACCTGGTTTCCATAGCCTGTCAAAAGAATGACTGCAGTCTTTTCTGTACAGAAATATATTTGGTATTTGCTTTTGCCTTGTTTATTTAGCTCTTTGTTTTGTATGAAACAATAAGATCTCCCTCACAGCTACTTTCATTTCTACATTACTTTTCCCGAATGTCGCTTAAGTACGATCTTTCTGATTGGTCAAAATTTTAATGAATATTTTTATAAGAAAGGTCACCAGGAGATGACCCTAAATGGAGTTTCCTCAGATCTTTGTGTAGCAATCTATGTGAGCAGATCAAAGGATCTGATTTTAATCAGATTAATCTAAAGCATACTTGGGTAGTCAGACATGTTCGTGTAACTCATTAATTACCTGACTTGGAATAAATTCTGATTCTGATTGTAGTCCAGTTAGTGGAGAGCAACAGTCGACCATGTGGTGTCCAGCTGGTCAGCACCGCCAGGACAAACAAATCAGCTGATCCGATGGACTTAGTGGAGCTAGCTACCACCATACAAAAGGTACTAAGGGTTGTCAGTTCTAATGCTTGTATGATCACTCTATTTATGTATATTGTTTTATGTACATATATGTGTTGGCCTTTTAAAACACATATAAAAGACCTTTTAAAGAGGGTTATCATACAATATTGAACTTTGAAGCATACAAGTCAAGCATTATTGGTCGATGGTTAGTTGCTTATAGTTTTTCCAGGTTTAAATTTTAAGTGATCCATGTTAACATGGTTAAGAATAAGTAATACATGTATATATCATTAACATTTGTAGGCTGATGAATTTGTTAAAGCTACAGCAGGCAGTAAACTGACGGAGATCGCAAACCAGATCCGCTACCTACAGGAGCGGGCCAGAAAGGTAAAAATAGATTCTGCAGGGCAAAGCTGGATTGGTGTGGATTTGACTACTTCATATGTACTTGTACAAGGGAAACAGAACTGAATTAGTTCAAAGTGCAGTTCAGCATTAGTATCTTATTGAATGCCCAATGAAATGTTCTTTTTTTTCTCAGAAAATAATGTTTGATTACAAAATTCCTGTCCATCTGTACAATTAAAACTAGTGAATTTCTATGAAAACTGACAAATTCAGTAATTTTCTACGTTTTTTTAATGGGGCCTGGGCCTTTACAATTGGGAAAAATCATCGACATTTGTGTAAAATTGGGAAAAAATCCATAAGATTGAAATTAACCTTAATTGACAGGTAAAATAAAATATATAAGTAAATATAACATCATTTATTCAAAATATTTACTACAAAATAACAAATTAGACACAGTTCTACATTTTAAACTTTTTTTTTAATCTTTGAAAGTTATCATTGTGACCGTCCTATACTTCCATTTTTTTTGGCCATAATGGTAGACATAATAGAAAATCCTACTCATAATAGCCATTAAAGATGGAGTAATTTGACTTGATTTATAAGAAATCATTTTTTTCCTAACTCATTATAAAAGCTATCTAAATTACCTTTCATATTGCTGCAATTACCCTGCAATATTGGTTGCATCTGCCGGGTGTAGAAACGGTTTGATTTTCGTGGAATAAGGGATGCTTGTTGTAAAACTATTAGTACTTGGATTTAAAAATAAAGCTATGTTTCACCGGTTCACATGCATCTTACACTTTCTTATGATGTATTTACACACAAATTGACATTTGACATGATCCATGTGTTTTTCTGTCTTGTAAACGCACAAAATGATCTACTCTTCCTCACCACTATTTTAAGAGTCTGAATGACTGAGAACAATATTGTTCCATTTTTGATAAGTCGTACGTAAAAAAATTCAATATAACAAAAACAATGGTTTTATTTTAGGAAAAAAAGCAACTGAAATTGGGAAAAAATTGGTAATTTTTGATAGGGGAAAGGGCTGATATTTGGACCTAAATTGGGTGTAGAAAAATCCATGAAATTAAGAAGGAATTTTTAATAGTTGCTATTTTAATTTTAACTTTTGAAAAATCAAACTTGCAAGCTAATAATTAAGGTCTTCCGTTTCCAACGGAAGACCTTCTACTGATTGTGATGATTAAGATTATTCTTTTTTTTTTTCCTAGACGCCAACTTTGACGCTTCATATCTTCCTCATTTTTAAACAGATTTTGTTCAAATTTTCAGAGCTTTTAGACTTTACAAAACACTGTCAGAATACCGTAATACAATTCGGAAATTACCTTCTGTTCACGAGTTATTCCCCTTTGATTGAATTTTGCATGCCTCCGATTTCCAGACAAAGGCTCAGAAATGGTTATAATTGGAGCACAAAACACTTTGAAATTGAAAAGAGGAAGCATTGAAGTTGTGCACATCGGTTTTTGTTTTTTGATTTTTGCATTAAAAATGGCACTAGAGAGGGGTCAAAAGTTAGAACGCGGAAAACAGCAAAAAATTTGACAATTTTTTCCTTTATATCTTGAAAACTAGAAAAATTTTGTTAAGACATGTAGAACAAAAGTTGTGCATAATTGCAAGGGCTTTCATATTATACTATTTAAAAGGGGCTGGCCCCTATGATTAGGGATCTTGGGCCCTTAAAAGTTTTTGCTTTATAACTCAAAAACGGTACGTATTACGATCTGGATCTTGGGAACAAAATTGTTCTTTTACACCTTTTTGATCTAATGAAAATGTTGTTTTGTTCGAGTATACCATGGGTATTGCGTAATACCTATTAGAAAGCAGGCCAGGTAAACAGGTAACGTTTTTAATTCGGCAAGAAAATCAGACCTCTTCATGTGTATAACTTAAACAGACTTGCTATCAATAATATACCCTGCGGTATTTAATGTTAATTTTCTTTTTAAGAAGGTTTAAGGACATACGCAACGTACCTTACCTACTGATAATTTTTCAAGATATTCTTAATTTAAGATTATAGTGCCATCAGATGTTTGTAGACAAAAAACCAGCATGCATTACCAGGGGTTTTGAAAAGATATCAATTGATGAAAATTCTTGTATAATTCAAAGAAAAATATACAAAAATTACTAAAGATATATTTTAGATGTTTTGTTTATCGAAACGTGTTTTAGAAGAAGTGCACAGCAGCATATATAGACATTAAAATGTAGCACACAGTTCCTTTAATTATTGGAACTCTTCAACTCTAGGGAAAATGACAATAAAGTTCAAACTACATTGCGTATGTCCTTAAAACGTGGTTTATGGTTCACTATTAAATTATTTATTACAACTAGTCTTTCTTTTCTTCTTTTTTAAATTAGGTTAATAGTGTTCAAAAGCGGAGAATTTTAAATCTATCTTTCTACGTTTATTATTACAACAAACTTTGTAAGTGATTTTAAACTGTATGCATTGAATAATTCACGATCATTAGCTGTATGCATATTACGGTCTCCATGTTCAGCTCGATGTTTAGTTATGTAACCCAACGCGCGAATCCCACGCTGTTGATCGAGGTCACCAGTGTACTAGCCACCTGTGGCCATAAACAAAGCTAGTATTTGTGATCGCGTATAATGTCAATTTTGTACAAAGAGCTATTAATTAATGGAAAGTTATGTTTTTAATTATATCGAATCAGTAAGATTACTTTACCGATCTTTTATAATCTTAATTCCAAACACTGCATAAAAATCATTTTGAATTTTAATCGCTGTTTTTGTCTGTTCACGCAACAATACATTTAAAAAAAGTATTGCTCTATCCCGTGTTGTTGTATTTTAATTCATCTGCAATTGTAATTGAATGGGGGCTTCGGTAAATAATTGTAATTACTACGCACATATTATTTTTACCATCACTCTTGTGAATGTCCATTTATTATTTATAGAATTAAATAAACATTAACATAAATAAAAATTCCTTCAAATATACATGGACTATAATTCAAGTCTTTGTAATATAGCAAACAGTTTCATCCATCTCTGCCGCTTTGTGTCTTTAAGTGTTGTAGTCCAGTCCTCGTTTACATACACGTGGCCACAGAGAGCCGCGGGCACCTCGATGTTGAAATACATTGTGTACTCTGATAGTTGCTCTACACCGCACAAACAACTAACGTGTAATTGGCAAAGATTGTTTGAAAAATATAAACTCGCATGTGTTCGCTACGAAGCACTCATTTTAAAATTTTATTTACATGTAGATACCTTATAAGAACAAAATAAAGTAAATGTATGACACCTAGAACAATGTTTAAAAATTAAAATACAAATATCGTGTGCTCGGAAGGGAAGATGGCTTGAAAGGGTGTGTCTGTGAATGCTTAGATCTAGCAACACACTTCGCAAAGTTAAGCATACTTGTGTCCAAATCCTTTAAAAGTGGGGGCAATCCCCAATCCTCGCACCCTTCCTTTTTGAATCTAAAAATATATACCATACTGAGAGTTGTATATAGAGCGGGAATGTTATTTTATTAGTCCTTAAAGGCACAACTTAAGAAATGACTTATAAATTTTTTTTAGATAAGATTGTTTCGCGATACAACTGTGATAAATCTTAGGAACTTCTAAAGTTATAACTTAGGCATATCTTAAGATAACTTAGGAAACGTTTTTGAAACAGGCTATCAAGCATTCAGTCAGATCTATTACGACGTCCATATTACAATATAAGAGAATGAAATTTTGTTTTGTATATAAAGTGGTTATTACAAATATGCGTGTTACAAAAATGTATGTTGAAATCTTCAAAAGCTATCAAATTATTTGCATACGTGTACTCGTACATATGAACATTGATCAACACTGATCAAGTGTATACCGGGACCCGGGATAGTCTTATTATAGCTCTTGCTTTGTCAAATCATTACTTTCATACCCCTTGCATTTAAGAAAAACAATGTTATAAAAAAAATAATAATCTGACATATAACAAGTATACAGACCCTGAAACGTGCTACTACCCCAAAAAAGCGTGTGACTTTCGTGCGCTTTTCGTTTCGTGCAAACCGTGTAGCGTTTCGTGTAAACCGTGCAGCGTTTCGTGCAAACCGTGTAGCGTTTCGTGTAAACCGTGCAGCGTTTCGTGTAAGCTCCAAAGCGTTTCGTGCAAACCGTGTAGCGAGCGTGCGAGAAGCGTGTGAGAAACGTGCGACTTTCGTGTAAGAACCGTGTGAGAAACGTGCGACTTTCGTGCAAGAATCGTGTGAAAAACGTGTAGGATTCATTCGGAAGTCATTTTATTTTAAATATGGATATTGATGGATCAACATGTCATTCTGTGTTGTTTGTAAGTAATATTATTCGCATATATTACCGGTGGTATAAAATAAAAATACGGAAACAACAAATTAAATAAAATTACTCGGTAATGTATTACATATTTGTTTGTTTTTCTTCCTTTTTTAAAAAAATAAAGATGAACGTAAAATATGTTCAAAGTAATTAATTATATGTACATCAATTTAGAGGTATTTGATTCAATACATTTTTTAAAGGGGGCAATACTAAACATTTTTTAAAAAAGAAAATTCACCAAGAACCCGGTCTTGTCCTTTTCATTCATTCATTTGAATCTCTTCACCATTTTACAATTATGGTATATAAAGATTACAGGAACATATGGGTGATTAATACAAAATAATAGATAGATAAGGCAGGCGTGAAAAATAAAATACAAAATTTAGTGCGTTGCTATGAATGTGAAGTATGGGAATTCTAGGCCGGGGAGCACAGTTAATTCATTTTCTTTATAAACGAACATAATTTTCTTATATCACAGGATTGTGTTACAAATAATGTTGAAACGAAGAATCATTTATAGTCTTTTTATGCATACAATTGGTTAATAATTGTCACATAAATGAATTATAATTCACGTGCTTCGGCAAATACAGGGTAAATTATTTCCGGGGGGGGGGGGGGGGGGGGGGGACTGAG